AAGCAGTGGTATCAACGCAGAGTAACTATTTTCCAGTTTAATTCCGCAATGATAATCTCCATTCTTCAATAGTCATTGAATGAAGACGGCATAATTTTACCTCCCGCATGAAGGACGGTCATAGCCACCTCTACTTGAGGTTTTCCTTCATATCCAGGTGAATCGGATGGAGTAATAGGGATACCGCCGCCGTTGTCTACTACTGTGACTTCATCCCCGACAATGAAGACATAGATAGTAGAACATCTCCCTGCACTAAATTCGTCGACAGAATTATCTACGATTTCGTATATGCAGTGAGTTTTGGACGGAAGGTACATTCCTTTTCGGAGCCTGACATTGTCTGGATATTTTAAGACACTTATTTGCGCCTGTTCCTGACTCAAAATGTCGTCACTCTCTTTCTTAGTCATCTTCTTCAAGCACTTCAGCCTTAACCGTACCTGTATAGTGCCTCAAAAACGCTTCTACAACATTTTTCAGATTATCAGACAAATCCATTGAATTAGTTATTTCAGCGTTAACAATATAAGGCTTGTAAGGCACGTGTCTCTTCTCTGCTTCTGATTTAGTCTCTTCGTCAATGACGAACATCGTAATCATACTCTTGAAATTAGAGACATACTTTCTATACTTGAATGTGAACACTCTGTCTTGGAATTCTGTTTTGAAAGTCTGGTCGGCTTTAAAAGTCAATGTTCTTCCTATATGGGAAAGCCATACCTTCAATCAGATTATCCAAGGCAGTAGGTTCATCTATATATTGCTTTTCTAGCTTTTTTTGAAGTTCCGCTATGTCTTTCTCTGAATAATCCATTAGCTGAACTTGTTGCCGCCGAGCTTCTTATTACGAAGAGCAGCAAGGCGATTCATGCGGTCATCGTTGCTAGATGATGTAGTAGATGCTGCTGGCTTAGATTCCTCATCAGAAGACTCAGAATCAGCATTACGACTGCCACGAATCTTTACACCTACTACGTGAGCATAAAGCTGGCCGCGGCGAACCTCGCCGTCCTTCTCGTAATCATCACTTTTACGAAGCTCATAACTGATACTCAGATAATCACCACGCTTTGCGTAGTTATTCAAATAATCAGCAGTAGCACCGAAAGCAGTAAAGCTAATAAGGTCCTCAGGATAATACTGGTCATCCTTTGCCTTATATGCTCTCTTTACACTGATTACGCCACGATAGATGTGCTTATTGACATCCTCGTTCTCTCCGTAATAAGTAAGTGCAATCTTCTCAGAGATTGGCAGTCGGCCATACAGCATACCAGTGTTTATCTACGTTAGTAATTGCCATTAAATAATCATTCCTTTCTTTTTTTCAGGTTAATATATGTCTATGTTAGAATGGACGAAGATCACTCTTCTTCAGCGAAGAGTCCTTCCGCCATAGCAACATAAGCAACAAAATACATTAGGAGTAATATCCTTCTCAAAGGTGGCATTATCGTCACACTTCAATCCAGCTGCGATCATATCCAAGTCGGACATCTCAAGACCGAAATCTTCCTTAAGCTTCTCTAGCCGCTCCCATTCATCCTTGAACTTCTCCAGTGTATCATCATTCCAGGTAGACATGTCTATCTGCTTTTCTTCTTCTGCGCTAGGCTGAGGCTTTAAAGCTTCCTTCTTCTTCTTTCGAGGAGTAGGCAGAGGCGGCTTGTCACTGTCCTTCTTATCCTCGCTGCCCTTAGTTACGGCTATATCATCTGGAGGCAAAGGCACGTCCTTTTCGGATGGCGGTGTTTCTACCTTTTCAGAATTGACCGCAGTAAGTATAGCAGAATTAGTCAAAATGTTAGCCTGAGCAATAGCTGATGCTATCGCTGTATAGGCCATAGCCTTATCCTTAGGATCTGAAATGGAAGAAGCGGCATTAGCAGCTTCGTTAATCATCTCACTAAAAAAGTCATTAATACTATTAGCCAAAGTGATCATCTCCTTTTACATGTTTTTTATATATCAGAATAGCTAAGCTGACATTATGCCGGCGTCGCTATTTCCTCAATCGTAATATTCTCATTTTCATCTACGTCTACGATGTACCCCTTCTCTTCTCCGTTGTTGTTAGGGATATCGAACATCGTATCCAGCAGAATATCTTCCATAATGCCTCGCAGGGCTCTTGCGCCAGTCTTTCTCTCTATAGCTCTCTTCGCAATAACTCGTAGAGCTTCTTCGGAGAAGTCAAGCAAAGCATTATGCATACTGAAAATCGTCTGATACTGCATAACGAGAGAATTCTTAGGTTCAGTTAAAATCTTAACCAAAGCATCTTCATCTAAGGATTTGGTATAGCTTATAACAGGGAGTCGGCCCAGAAGCTCTGGTACGATACCGTATGTCTTCAAATCCTCAGCTGTGACATTAGATATATACTCATCATAAGCTTTCTCTTCGTTAAGTTCTATCTTCGCACCGAAACCCATTATGCTTTGGTGCTTGCGCATTCTCTTCGCGATAATCTTATCTATGCCTTCAAATGCTCCTCCTACGATGAAGAGGATATTCTCAGTATTAATCTTAAATGTTTCTGCGGAGGAGTTTAATCTCATTCCCGTCTTTGGAACAGTTACTTCACTCCCCTCGATAAACTTTAGCAATCCATACTGCAAGTCATCATGGGTGGGGTCGGCGGTGGTAGAAACATTCTCTCCCTTACGAGAGCACTTATCTATCTCGTCTATGAAGATGATACCTCTCTCTGCATCTTCTATATTACCATCTGCTGCTTCGACAAGATCTCGAAGCATGCACTCTAAGTCTTTCAGTTTTGTTATCACAAGGCTTATTATCCTTGCTTCTATGTCATTACAACATAGCTCGGCGTACCTTTTTACCCTCGTTTAACGTTAGGTTCGATGGTCGTGACTCCATCTCACGATGTCCTATATACATCGGTAACGCGAACTCTTGGAAGGATTATACGCATATTTCAGCTTCACCTTCTACGCTCTGCCCCTGACTAGGCTTTCGCCTATCGATTATGTCGCCATAATCTAGCTCTAACTGAGCGCCTTCGGTTCGGATCATCCTAGAAGGATATCTCCGCTTAATTTCGCGTTCGTAATCTGATTTATTTCTAGATCAGACGGCAGTTCTAAATACAACCCACGAATCCTGTGCTGGAGAATTTAGTGATATCCTCTATAACGAATGGTACGTTAATAGAATTAGCCAATCTCTTGATAAGTTCGGACTTGCCTGAGCCACTAGGTCCAACCAGAATCATAGATGACTTACTCACTTCGTTGAATTCTTCATAACCAGCTCTCTTCTTGTTAACGATAGATATATGGTTATGGACCACAGTAGAGAGTACCTTCTTGGCCCTATCCTGACCGATTACGTACTCATCCAGCATATCCTTCAGTCCTTAGAGTAATCTTTATATCTTCATGAAATGGTGCTTCTTCCTCGGCGAACATATCCATTCCTTCTATCTTCATCAAGGAGAAGATATTCCGCGCCGGGAGGTTCTTTACTTCGTCTACTGCACGCTGGAACTTCTTATAGCACTCATAGCAGATGTACTTGCCATTAGGTGACTGCAGGAGGAAGTTATGGACTACCTTCTACGAGAGCACCTCCATCAGTTCCACATACGCTACAAGTAGGAATTTCGTTCAACATTTCGTCCAATCAAGCCACCGCCTTTCTAGGAAGAAGGATTTCATCGATTAGACCGTAATTCTTAGCCTCTTCTGAAGTCATATAATAATCTCGGTCTAAATCCTTAGATACGGCGTCAAATGACTTACCTGTGATGTCTACGTACAGCTGAGTCAATTCCTCCTTGGTACGTTTCATGTGTTCCCAAGCAATCTCCATATCTGAAGCCTTGCCCTGAGAGCCGCCAGATGGCTGATGATCATAATATTAGCGTGAGGTAGAGCGAATCGTTTCCCCGGTGTACCTCCTGCCAGTAAGAGACTAGCCATGCTTGCTGCTGTGCCTACGCATACTGTACGTACATCACAGCTGATATACTGCATAGTATCGTAGATACCCAAGCCAGTGTCTACCTGGCGCCGGGGGAGTCTATATACATCGTAATATCTGCTTTTGGATCTTCATGTTCAAGCAGAATAAGCTGTGCCTTAATAGCGTTAGCCATATTAGGTTCTACAGCTCCTACTACGTAGATTATACGATCTGCGAGAAGACGAGAATATATATCCATAACACGTTCTGCTCTGCCTTCTTTCTGAATTACCATCGGTGTTAATAAATCTTGTGTAAACAAGATACGCACCTCCTTTTTTGTATGTGTAAAAGTTTATATACCCATGTATATCAGAATGGAATGGACAATTCTGATGATATGTGTTTCTGATGTGAAGATAATCCTACTAGAGGTTCTCCATCCTTGTCGTAAATGTAATATTTGCGGCCACTTAATTCGTAATAGCTCTTCTTAACGTCTCCTGGCTTATGAGGGCCGTACTTCTTCTTATAGAACTCCTGAGTAAGAGTATCTTCCATATTGGACTCTATCCAGTCAGTAATAAGAGATATACCCTTCTTCTTGAAGAACACCTCAGGTACTACTACACCATTTATATTAGTGCTAATAGACTGGGAATAATCCGTATCGAAGAGGAGACGAGGGTTATGCTTAATCTTACACTCTCTGGCTACTGCAGCAATGAAAGCAGCATGTGGAGCCTTTGTTTCAGAGTAGAAACCTAACTCATTGGCTATCCATGAAGCAGTCTTCGCCCCCTTATCAGGGGAGGAGGATATTACGAACTGTTTTAAGGTCTCTAGCTCTTCTAACTTCTTCTCCTGAGTCTCTATGATAGAGATAATACTGTCTATAGCTTCGTCAGTAGAAGAACTCTTTTCTTCAAGCTGAAGCATGGCTAATTCCTGCTTCTTTTGATTCTCTTCCATCAGTCTGAACTGATTTACCATAGCCTGCATTAAGTTGACGAAGCTGCCACCTTCTCCTACTCCAGTATCTGTCCTTACCAAGTTACCGTTCATCATAGCAGGGAGAACCTCAGAGGATATCCATTTCTTAAACTTTAAAGCAGAGGGCTTATTACTCCTCATAATCAGAGAGAAAAGACCACTCTGGTTTATAATATTTATATCTTTGTTGCTGCCGGGCTTCTTGACAACCATCTTCTCATATGGCTCTAGCCTCTTAGCTGCGTCTGTAGGGTTGAGTATGCCGAGTATCTTACAAGCATCACTTAATACGAACCATACTTTACTATTATCGTTTACAACCCTAAGCGTACCAAGCCGAGGATCGGAGAAGTTTTGGAAATTAACTGGTAACAAATTCAACACCTCTTTCATGTATGTAATACTCATCTACCAAAAAATGCTAAAAGGGTGGCGGGAGCCACCCCTGTCAAAAAGGAGAATTAATAAAAACAAGATTATTGTTTACAGGTACATTATACCAAATAGTCGAGAGAAAGTCAATAGGTCTTTTCTTTATTTTTTAAACTTTTCTTGATTTTTCTCTTGACTCTTTGTCGTTTATATGGTATGATATAGTCGTAGAGATTTAGGTCGTATATATGCCGCCCCACTCAGATTTCGGTATCGCCCAAAAGGGCTCACCAAAATCTTCCTTCCCCCCGGCACCCCACCCACAACTGGAAATGTATCCTAGCTGCTGGGTTATGTGACGTGGTTCAATAAGGGCCGCCAACACAACTTAAATCTCCACAATAAAAAACTCACAGCTGCGGCCGCCCCTGTGATATAGGCAGTTACACTGTGAGAGATAAATTTCCAGTAAAAAATAAATTTTTATTTTAGAAATATGTGTATATAGCATATTATTAAACGTATATATATAGTATATACACTATTAGTGCACTTTTTGCTTCAAAAGTGCCAAATCTCTTTATAAAATCGAAACTTATTAAAGCACTAGCATTGGCACAGCATACTTATCAAACTTGGCAAATGTTAGCGCAATAGACCAATCATCACTTGATACGAAGGAGAAAATCATGCGAAAAAAGTTCCATAAACCATATATTTTACGTCCAGACGAAAATGATAATGTAATTATTGAAATTAATTATGACCTAAGTGTAGCTAAAAAATTAGCTGAAGCATATAATTACATAGTATTTGTACAGCTCATCAATACAACTGGAAGAGACTTTTGGACTCCAGAACATTTTATGCCTCAAAGAATAAAAGCCAAACTTGGTGATGCAAAAAGTTACTTCGAGGCAAAAGGATATACCGTGGAGGTTATCAGAAATGACAAATAACAAAAATGAAGTATTTAATCTTTGCAATATTGCTAGATATATCGAAGTACCTAATGAAGAAGTTTTTGAGCATAATTCTTCATATACCGTAGACATAAGTGAAGGCTATGAAACAATTCGCAAGGTTGTTGAAAAATTTGACATTGACAGAAGAGTTCTTTATATTAAACCTAAAATGTACAAAGATAAAAGAAACAAATTTGTCATCAAATCTAGATACCATTATGGTCCTATAGCAAATATGCATATGTTAAGCGCCATCAAAGATGATGACACCTTCGTAAGTCAATTCGTTAAATTTATTACGCCTATGATAAAAGAAAACGGTTGCTTGTACGACCCCGATTGTAATTATGGAAATGGTTTGATAACCAGCAACAAAGAAATAGGTGCTAAAATAGGAATAACCCATCCAACAACAATATCTCGTTGGATAAAGAAGGCCGAGGAGTATAATTTAATAAGACCCTGCTATATTCCTTTCTCTATGCCAAAAAGAAAAATTGAATACGTAAAAGGTTTTGCAGTTAATCCACTGTACTATTACTGTGGAGGAATATCTTTAGAAGTATGGACAACTTTCAGAGATTATCTCGTACATTGTACAGCAAGCAATAATGACATAGAGATGGCTGACTTATATTCTCTTAAGTATTTTATGACTTATGACGATGTCAAAAAACATCCTTATGCTGAATTCATTGAATGGGGTATGGAAACATACGAAAGCAGACTTCAGAATTTCTTAAAGCATAAGGAAGAGATGAAACTAGCTGCTCGTCAATTAAAAACCTGGCTACCAGAAGAAGCAATGTCTACGGAGCAAAGATGGACGGAAAAACAGATGATGAAAGCATTCATTGATAATGTTCATAATGGTAGAACTCATTTATCATTCAAAAATTATACCAAACTAATCAAGTCACCATTAAAGTCTTCTAACATGGGTATGAGTAATTTGTTCTATTCTGTCCAAGAAACAAAACCAGAAGCAATCATGCATTCTAATGACTCTGTAGATTTAAATAACATAAAATATTTAACCTTAGATATAGATATAAAAGAAAATGGCATAACTATTCCTGATGAAAATATAGATACGTTAGAGATTATCAAGAAAAAACTTCTTAACGAAGTTATCAAATATCTTCCAGAACCTGGGGCAATTACTATTACTAGAAACGGCGTACAAGTTATTTGGAAACTTTCTACTAGTGTATCCGTAGAACGCTGGGAAGAGCTACAGTGGATGATTTCTGACAGTTTAGGAGATCTTGTGGATAGAAACGCCGTAAAACTTGGAGGCATTCTTAGATATCCGGGGCCTGTTCATCAAAAAAGTAGAACAAAACCATATAACACCATTCTGTATTACGTAAGTGACATCGCATGGAATAATTTCTTATTCGAAAAAGCAATTAATAGTTTTTCTATAAAAGAAAATGCCTCTATATTTATTGCTAAATATAAAAAATATTTCCAAGCATATGGTTCTGCTTGCAATAAAAATTTGTCGTCTATTAAAGATAAAAAAGATACGCAAGGTATTTCTATTCCTAATAAAAACGGTTCAATAAGTCTTTATAATATAGCTGATAAAGATATATTTATTGATATTGCACAACTTAATCCTGCTCATAATAGTTTTGCTCCTGCATATGAAGCTAAAAATAACAATGATGCCAAAGATTTTATTTTTAAGCAACCTATTAGTAAGTTTCTTGGTATGAAACCAAATTCAGATTTATGTATCTTCCATAATGATGGTTCGCCATCTGCTATGATTAATGATTATGGAGAAAATGGAGAAGGTAATTATTCTAAATCTACATATGTATGCAGAGCCATATCGTGTAAAATCAGTAACGATGATTATTGGGATATATTTAACATAGTGTCATACATAGCTTTTGGCGAAACTATGGGACATTACAATGAAGTATTCAAATTCTTGTGTTCATATTATAATATTACGATACTAAAAAAATAATTTACATATAAGTTTTAAAATAAAGGGTTGTACATCACAAAAAATGATACAACCCTTTATTTTTGTTTACGCTATTTCTGCATCGTTCATATTATCTACGAAGAATAGTTCTAAAGGAATACTGCTCTGAACGCAAGGAGGAGCTACTTCTTCCTTGATATTCAAGCCCATAGCCTTCTTCATCGCAATGATTCTCTTATTAGCATCTTCAGATATAGCTTTCTTTTCTTTCGAGATTCTTTCAGAGAGAAGTTCGATATGAGTAGGTACCGCGGCGCACTCTTCTACGTTTCTCAATATGACTACAGCTACCTTGCCTACATTTTCGCCCATATTAGAAGAGATAACCCTGTCTATAATGCCCTTCTTGTTACGATAGATACCTGTTACGGCAGAATTCATACGTTTCATCATATCAGCAGTAACCATTTTATCTAACTGGGCAGTACAACGGAAATGACCTATTTCTTTATTGTCTACGACTATTGAATCATGAAGATTATTTCCGTAAGGAATAAGGTATACTTCAGTATCAGCCATTTCCTTGCTTATCTTTTCTATATGGTTACAGGTATAGGTATCTCGGCCGCCGC